GCCGGGGATCGAACCCCGGACCATGTGCATGGTCGGCGAGCGTCCTAACCGCTGTGCCACCGACGCTGGTGTCAAATATAGTCCTGGTTGAACTATAACTACTCATTACTATAATACTCACTTGATACCTTTTAAAATACTCAAAGCAAATCCTGTTTAATAATGAAAAAGCTCACATAATTAATGTCAGCTAACTATTACTCACTACGTTACATTTTCATTACTGATCAGACAAACTGCAAATGCGAATAAGATTATTATTTTTAATCTACTACGTTATCAAACGAAACCTCCTTAAAGACAGAGAAAACTCACTTGACATCTCCCAAACGTATGTCACCTTCGGCTTAGGCGGAATATCAGACTGTTAATAGAAGTGTTTGTCTACTGAACAGCATTTCACTGGAATAGATGAAAGTAGAAACGAAAATTTTTCAGGATTTTTTTCGTTACTGTTTTTCAAGTGATGGTTTGTTGGGATTTGACTGGTTACAGGATTTACATCATGAGCTGTAGTTTGTTAGAGAGCCATTGGAAAATCTGGGAGTACTGGACATCTGTTTCGTCCTAGTTTTGGGCCTCTTCATCGGTACGCACTCATCGGGGTTCGAACCCAGGACTTTCTGATTACAAGGCGAGCTCGTATACCATTAAGCCACTGGGACCCGATCCAGTAAATGTATTCTAACTTCTGCCAATTCACGACATAGCGCGAATACTAGCCAATGTCTTCGGCGAGTTTTTGTCCAGCTGTTAATGTTAGGTGAGAAAATATGTCAATTGGTGTTTATACTAGGTGTATTGTTAGCTAAGTAGACAAGACTTTGAATCTTCATGGACTGAAATGGCTAAAGAATGTCTGTTACGAATGTCAACCTATCGTATTCTTCAATGAGCAATGCTAACTGACGTAGGACAAGTCTGACAGGTAGTTCAAAGTGGAGGAACATTAACGGACGCTAATCTGTGAAGTCGTTGACTGTTCGTCTGAGGCGGATAAAGCGGTATAGTTTATGTAGTTAGCAGTATTCCAGGCGTTGAAATCAGTGGTTGGAGAATAGTTGTAAGATGGTTCAGTATCATTCACAATGGAATCGATAAATGTTTTTCATCTCCCATATTCTGAAAAGACTACCTCATCTTCATTTTATTACTATTTCTGGGTTTTTTCTTTCGTAGTATCATTCTGTTTATGATTCCGTAATTTTCCAACTGTCATAAATTGAACTGATGTACTTCTGTGTAAACTTCTGAGTTGATCTATCTTTCATCTTCTCTGTACTTAACACTGATACTCACCAAGGCTGCCTACTATTACCGACGATATCCCTGACTGCGCGGGATTGAACCATGCAGGAGACAGTGGGGTGGGTGAAGATGGTAATAGGATGGATCTACAACAGGACTTCAGAAGATCTGGGCTTCGTGGACGATTTATTTATACTGTAATGCAAACTCGATGATCTACAGGCGGGAACCAACAAGTTAATACATGAAGCAGAAAAAAGAGGACTTCAAGTGGGTGTAGAAAAAAAAGAGGTGACTAAGATATCTAACCAATAACAACAAGCAACAATCACTACTAAAGGGATAAATTTGAAGGGAATCACTCTTTTCACTTATCTAGGCAGTACCGTTTCAACAGCAGGTAGCATAGATATAGATATCAAAACCAATCAGAATCGGAAAGGCAAGACAGATATCCATTACTTTGAAATGTATGGAAATCTGCACCCAGCATAAATAAAAAGATTCGGATTTCGAACTTTACTGACACATCAGTCAGTGCTCCTATATGGTTCAGAGACTTCGGCTGTCACGAAAACCATTTCCAACAGCCTTCAAACTTTTACGAACAGCCGCCTTCACTTCATACTGAAGATCAGATGATCAACCAGAAACGGTAAGCAACAAGGAACTCTGACAATAAAGCTGTCAAGTACCCATAGATCCATAAATATTCTTCAAGAAATGGAGATGGGTCGGACACACTGAGGAGACCGTTGAATGACACTACTGATCAGAAATATAGAGTGTAATCCTAAGAGAAAACAACAAGTTTGGCATCCAAGAGTCACCTGAGCAAAGACTATGTGGGGAGAAGATGAGAGCTCATGGGCAGTCGTGGAGCCAGCTAAACAGGACTACAGAAAACAAGATAGAATGGAGATTTGCTGTTGAAAACTCATGTTCCACTCGGAACACAATGAATTAATAATAATAATAATAGCAATAATAAATTCGTGTGTTTCCGCCTGATCCATTGACAACATAATGTATGTTGCTTAGCCACGCGAAAACAAAGAATTATAAATGAATTAGAGTTTGAATAAACGATATATATATATATATATATATATATATATATATGTTTATACCATCATCAGTATGATTTCTTTCAAAACAGATGTAGATATGCCTTGTTGACTGGTGAGGGCCAACTAGCACTTAACATAGGTCAAAGGCTTCCTGTCGATTGCCTCCAACCAGCTAATATGATTTACTTCAATTCATCTTCAGTGACAGTTCCATATTAATGGTTGATTTAAAATCTAACTAATTACATGACAAGAGCTCTCCGGTCATGCTGACTTTTAACTTATAATAATGACAATTTCTGAAAGTAATTTCACTTGTTGTTTATATCTTTCAAGGAAGTTTTAGTTGATAAATTGATATCCATGTAATGAGTGGAAGACAAAGTGAAATAATCGCTACTGTAATTCCATTGAAAACCTCCAGATTACTGACCTCATATTCTAATAACTGAGTTATATTTGCAGAAGGTTGGAAGATCATCATTTCATTTTTAATGGATAATCGTTTTTTTATAGAAGTTAAATGAGGGTATAATAAATAATTATTGACAGTATAAACTGAATATTTTACTTTCATTAAAGAATATTTAATTTACCGAAGGCTTCCAACTGATTATTTCTGATAAATAAACTCAGAAATTGAAAGGTGATAACGGAATGATAATAAGAATGAGTGAGGATATAAGGTACTGCGAATCAAATTTGTCACGTTTTCGTTCCAGTATACTTAAATAGGCACAACGGAGGCGGTTAAGTGCGATCTCAATCACCTGAAGTAGTTGGTTTTATGTGATTTTGTATTAACTGCTGAGAGGAATGCCATCATTATATCCGATGTTACATTTGGCTGTTTTTTTTTCAAGGTATTATATCAACTTTTCTTACACAGCTGGAGTACCTGTTGTAGCGTTCGCTATACTATGTGCGATAGCTTTCATTCTCACAGGACAATAATGAGTACCGAAGTTTAAATTTAGCGCCGAAATCTGGATACTAATTACAAGTAAGGCCAAAACAGCGTTTGGTATAAGGGAAACATGTAATATGTTAATATCACTAAAATGTAAATTTTTCACTGCAGTCTATCGCATGTCAGTGTATGAAGACTAAACACAGCAATACTAATACTTTTAGTTAAGGGTTTTTATTCCTCAGGAGTATTTTCAATACTTAATTGGAATGGTTACAGGTTTAATCATGAGCTGATATCAATTAAGGAACCAATGGAAAACCAGGGAGTACTAGACAGCTGTTTTGTCCACTTTGGAACTCTTCAGAAGTGAGGACCCATCAGGGTTCCAACCCAGGAACTTCCACTTTCAAGGTGAGCTCACACACCATCCAGCCAATGAGACTCGATTCAATGGCACATGGGTTTCAACTTCTGTCAATCAGCGATGTATGTAGCGCAACCGCAAATCAGTATCACAAGTGTGTAACTGTTCCCTTACCTGACTTTGTGGACCTGTTTGGTCAGGACCTCTCAATGAAACGCCAGATAACTTCCTGTATAGAGCCAGTAGCTTGTGAGTATCACATTAATTGTGAAGTGTTGGTTTGTAGAGATTTCGCTAGTCATACTGATGTCAGCTCTTGATCCTACCTGCAAAGGAAACTTGATACTTAATTTGATGCCAAAGTATCTAAATACGTCACTTGTATTGTGGTGAGAGCTGGCTGCTAGCCGAAATTGGTAGACAGTAATTTACGTCAATGTTTACATCCCCAATATTGGTCACGAGAAAAATAAGAACAAAGACTGACTCAACAACCAATCACAGTAGACTTTGCGTAGGCGGATACAGTTAACATATAGATGATCTGACATTCAAGAAACGGCCAGGAAGTGATGAAAGATTAACTTTCAGTGAGAAACAACCAATCAGAAGACTGTGTATTTCTGCTAAAATAATCTATAATATGTACATGAAAATCTATAAATGTGTTGATTTCCTAAATAAACGATCTGTTGCCTGGCCCTTGTCTTCTCTTGTTACAGTATTACTATTTGAATGTCAACAAAAACCTATATCGCTACACTTCGGAATCGTTGTTAGAATGTCCTATAAAACTTTTCCATTGAGACTGTTAGAAAAGGTTGAATAGTGCGCGTCTACTAATAATTCATTTGTTATAAACGTTCTTTTACTACCTCTTGTTTTATCTTTTGATTTTTACGCAAATAGATTTAAAAATTCATGGTAAAAGAAAGTATGACATTTACGAAATTTTTTTATCTTTGAACTGACGATTAATCTGTGCTTCTTATTATTATTATTCTTCTTCTATTTTCTTATCACTTACCAACTAATTTAATCAAACAAACACTGTTCAATATTTCTTTAAAAGTTTTAAGTTACATATTAATATATTGTACATATGATGGCGTTTTTGTTCAGTGTCAGTATACCACCACGGATACTGGATTTCAACTGTTTGGTTGAATTATGCATAATATATACATATCACATGCATATATATTATTAATATTTGCATGGGAAATATGAATTCCTACAGAGGAAGATCGATCATACTAGAAATAAATGGTATGATCTTGCAGGAATCCTGTTTTTTTTTCACTCAAATAGTTGAATTAATTTGTCAGTTATAGATGTATGTATGTATTCAACGTTCAACATTTTGTACATAAGCAAACCCTATTTATTATTTTGTATAATTTGTCTATTTTAATACACGTCTATTACGTGTATGATATATTTGATTTGGTAGACTTCTTTGATCATTTACTCTTAAAGGTTTGTTTATTGAATCCACTTGTACTTCAACATCAATATTCGATTTTTTCTTAATTATTTCATTACTGTTATTTAATAATGATGGTTTTAATTGTGAATTCACTGAATTTATATCTTTTATACGTTCAGATGTATCAGTTGAATGATAATTAGTAGTTTGTGTTGAATTCACTTTAGTATCAATAACAGGTGATGGAGTATTATTCAGTACAACTGTTGAACATGGTGGTGACATTGACATAGCACGTGTACGATTCATACAGGACATACGATTTTGTATAGATCTTGATTTACGTTCAATTTTAGGTATCTCTTTTAACGTATTTTTATTAATCCTGATATTGTCCATGGATTGTGTGATGTTGATGATAATAATAAATTACTATAATGACCAAGTAAACAGCCTGTTCTAATAGTATTATTATTATTACTTTTATTTTTATTTTCATCAATCTTTATAATGGATTCTTCGTATAACTTTCCTGGAAGACATGTTAAAAATTTACTTCGTGTTAAATTAGTCTTTTGTAAATATGCTGAATTCGATTCGTGTAAACCAGTAGTCGCTATAGCTACATCACCGAAAGCACCATTTATAGGTAGAGTTTTTGTTAATTTACGATAATTATTAGATGGATAAAGTTTCTCTGAATAATCAATTAAATTCATTGAATGCGCTAATATACCAATTTCACTTCTTATTTCATTCAGCTGTGGTGGTTCTAATTCACTAATAATTTCATTTGTATCCTCTTCTAAACAGTCTAATGATAATAAATATTGTTCTGATGATTGTTTCATAGTTAGATTCATTGATAACCAATAAGGATAAAGTGTAGTGTTCATATCAATATTCTCTGGAGGGAATAGAAAGTCATGCAATAACTCTGTTTCTGCCAATGATGTCGTTAATAAACGAAATAAACGTTGTGTTTGCCTATCAAGACACCGACTTCTAACACGTTCAAGCCATAATGTTAACAAATACAAGCAGACATCACGATCTGCACCAATAAAAGCTACTGCATTGTCTTTTTCACTACCACTTAGATTATTAATCATTTCTGGAGTTATTTTTTTAAAACCAATTGATATATAATGTCTACTCGTCAAAAGCTCTGGATCATATTTGATAATACCTTTTGGCATAAAATTTTGTCGAAAAAATCCTACTTCACTGATATATTCTAATAGACTAATCAAACGATTACCACAATTTGAATAACTCCGATTAACTCCCTTTCTTAACAGACGTCGAAATACTGAACACCAGATATATCTGTTAGATTCATCTTTATCAGTAGTGTCATCGATTTGTTTTACATCGTATACGCATGGATTATAAAAGCACTGGATATTACTGTAGTTATTGTATGTTGATACACAACAATTGATACATTGAATAAAACTAATCACATCCAATCCAGGTCTATTATTCAATAGCTTGATACAAAAATCTAAAATATCAACAAACCAACATGTTGTTTCTCTTGATGTACCCAATTTTTCAATTATATATACAGGAGATTGAGGATTGAAATTTGAAGTCATCAATAAGCTAATTGCTGGAAAAAATTCTCGTCTAATTGCAATTATAGCCGGTTGTGTAGTAGAATATTCATCGCTAACAAATGGACCAGGTCTAGGCTTCATACGGCGTACATAACATATAGCATTCACGTCTACTTCATTTCTAGCTCTAGCATGAATACGAGTCCCCGATGATTTTAATAATAGGTGTAAAACTGATTTCAAACGAAGGTAAATAGCAATTGCCAGCGGAGTTAAATATAATACTGTTTTTATTCCATACGCTGGCATTCCTGGGCCTGTTTTCGCATCAATATACATTTCAGGTTGATCATATACTTCAAAATAAGCAGAAAGAAGGGAAGGTTGAATATTTATTAGGTTAACTAAATGATGTAACCCATTACGACAACGCATTTGATTGATTAACCAACGGGTAACTTCATGATCTTTAGGATAATATTTTGGTAATGATGATGAGTCTTTAGAAGCTTGATCACCTGAAATATCATTGGAATCATTTGACATTTGTTGATATCCTTTATGACTATTCTCTACTACTGATGTTCTTGATTCACGTTTAGGCTGGTATGACATTTAAAATAGTGCACAATGAATAAGCTGCAAGTAAAGGTTTAACTGAATACTCGATCGATAATTAATCACTTGATTGACTTCATTTGAAAATCCTGACATTTTAATATACTGATTATTTTGTTAAGACATTGAATACATAAATAAATTTACTTTTATGCAATTATTCTGGATCTTTTACCCTAGAAACCAACGGCACTACAATTTCCTAATGAACTATTAGATTGGACTTAACAAGGATAGTTTATATAGTCAAATTGAAAGGAATTTTTGAAAAAGAATCGTAGTTTTTCATTAAAACAATTCAAGGACTTAATAAGGTAATGAAAATAAATTTAATATTGCTGGAAATTCAAGTATGAGCTGTCATCTGAGAAAATTTTCATGTGAACATGCGAACTGATGGGATGATCTCTCTATGCATGTAATCCCTGAAGCTTTTATTTTGAACTTTCGAAGTAAATTGAAACGTTATCGTAATATTCACTTGCAAGGAGTGATACATACCATCTGACATGTTATATTTCCCTTGAAGATAACGCATAGCAGATAAATGAACCACAGACAGAATATTACTATTTCATTGTTGAAAGCTATACCCTGGAAGCCAACAGCTGACTGGTGCTGTTACAATATTCATTTACCGGTCGAGCAGAAGGATTACCAAGTGTTTTCTATCTCAGGGATTTCATTTATCTTAATATTGATCAAGGACTTCGGTTAGAGAGCCAGGAAGTATTTCACAGCCTTTTCGCGTTTGTTTGGGACTCTTCATCAGTACGCAACCCTGACCGCACTGGTGATCGAAGTCAAGACCTTAAGGATACAATGTGGGCTCGTTGATCATTCAGTCACTTGGGCGGAATCCAGTAACTCATAAATTATAATGGAGAAGATTTGTAGCTAAGGTGGATTATTTTTATGCAATTGTGTTCACTGAGTTGGTTGGTTTATTTGAGAGGTTTACATTGCCCTACTAGGCAACATCTTCAGTGTATATTCACTTCAAATTGAAGTATGGGCCGAAGATTTTGATTACCAGAGCTTCGCAAATAAATCATCCAAATGCATTAAAAACTCATAAATACTAACTTCTGCTGATTTGCGACATTTAGCGCAACAGCCAGCCAAATGTCAACGGCGAGTATTTCTCTACTATTCACGACTTATCACTGCAATTTCATCCTGCAGTTAGTCGGAAGACTGGTACTTGTCTATTTCCATAGTGATAAATGGAGCTTTTAGCAATTAAGTACTTAGATGAGGAACTTGTAATACGTATACTCTGGGGATTCGACGGATTATTCCTGAAGGATGCTTAAATGTGAATACCGTAAAGTGATCTACTCAGATTGTTCACTAAATTAGTCGCATGAACTTTGAGTGTATTTCGAAATGAGTATAAAATCGCTCACTTTGCCAAAGGATCACATAACTTTTACAAAATCAATGAATGATATATGCTTATTGTGTTCACCTTCCTCTATATCACTGACAAAGAGAGCTTTTCGGTTGAGCTGAGGATATTACGAAATGAACAAATGAATAATCACAAACTTGGTTATGCAGCTTAATTCCATCTTGCTAGCCAATTATTATTTATTATTATATTAATCCTTTGGGTCCCGAGCGTAACACAGGGCTTCAATGGCACATCTCCATTTTGTCCCGTTCTCTGCAGTCCTCTTCAGTTTACCCCACGATTGCCTAAAAACTTTCATCTCCATATCACACTCATCATTTCCCATTTGAGGGCATGGCGTGCAATGCTATCCGTCGGTCTTCTCAGTGTGTGTCCAATACTTCTTCATTTTCTTCGGGATATTTTTTGTGACGAAATGCGACGAGTGAGTCGTCATTGCGAGGGTAACATTGAGAAGATCTTATGGGAAGGAGATGAGAGATTGTGGGCAATCGTGGTGCAAGTTGAAGAGGACGGCAGAAGATAGAACGAAAAGGAAATGTGTTGCTGAAGCCCTATGTTCCATTCGGAACTCAAGGGAATAATAAAAATAATCTTCATCACTTCCGTCTTTTCTATGTTCATTTGAACTCTTGTTTTTGATGCTTATTTTCCAGTTTTTTTTCGCTTGTAAGCCTTAGAATTTATGTGACATTAGACAGAAATCGTCCACGAAATCTACATCTTATCAGTCCAACGTATTTTTGTCTTCTCACTCCCCACACTCGGAGCGCAGCAATCAGAAATACCATCTGTGGTATTAGATAGCCTTGTCTCACTCCAGGCTTAAATTCACAGGCTTCGTTGAGTTTTCCGTTGTGGGCCACTTGACATGTAGCATTATCATATTACTGTTGAATGAAGTTGGTGAGGATTTTGAGCACTCCATAGTATTAAATTAGTAGTTAGCCAATAGTTGCTAATATCACCCTGAACCCGGCGCCACGTAAGTAACACCTTGAGCTGCAATCTACAAACGTTTGGCATGAGATTCGCTCCCGCCAAATGTAAGATGATGTTACAGGACTGGACTACACCGACTCCTAGTTTAGAAATAGGGAGTGAGTGAAGTTGTAGAGCACGTTGACCGCTTCACTTATTTGGGAAGTACCATCAGCCAGTGCCAACGGGTTGATCTCTGACGAAATCTCAGCACGAATACAGGGGGCTCGTTTCGCATTTGCCAGTTTACGCCGACTCTGGCGTAGACGAGATGTTCGACTATCGACCAAAGGGCGGGTGTACTAATCATCAGTCCGCTCCATCCTCCTTTATTTCTGGCTGTGAGACCTGGCCATTGAGAGTGGAAGACATGAAAAGATTAGCTGTCTTTGATCATAGGCGCCTACGCTCTATCTCCTGTGTGAAGTGGTTTAATAAGGTGAGCAACATTGAAGTTAGGTGTCGAGTGCTAGGTAGGTGGGAGGGGAAATCAATCGACGAAGTTGTGAAGTTACAAAGACTGAGATGGTTAGGACATGTGTTACGTATGCCAAGCCATCGCCTCCCTCGACGAGCTGTTAGCGGATATAGGGTCACGCTGGAGAAGAGCTAGAGGTGGGTAAACCAAAACATGGAACCAGTCTATGAAATCTACAACAGTTAGTCTAAGCCACGTAGGAAGGTGTAGACTTCCTGGTTGAGGTCCTCGGGACGATAAAAACCAATGCTTGGAAACAATTGATGATATGGCTTAAAATCGTTCTCAATGGCTGGCTCAGATGCATCCACTCATTGTGACTTATAATTTCCAATGAAACTATATTGTTCTTTGTTATTACTAATACTTTGTCTCACACTTCTGTTTACTGTCTCTACTATGCCTTTCTTCTACTTTCTCCTCCTGCTTTGTGTGCTACATGGAGAGAATGTGGGGGACTTGAACTGTTGCACATACGTGCAAAGTTCTATGTCGGAAACAGACAGACAGTTACTAATATATAACAGTCAGTCTTATATTAAATCTTAAGATTTAGCCAGCTGAAAATGTTTTATACGCTTTAGAAATGGATCCTAGGGTTATGTAAATACAGGTTTTATCGGAAGGTAATAGATGCAATATTTTGCATTAAGTTCTCACCCAGCCATTTCGTAAATTTCCTTGAATCTGTGATACTGCTTAAGTGGAATTTCGATAATTGCATAACAAAACTACTAGACTTAGCCCGACCGAAAGCTGCTACCTTGACGTGGTGGTCGGACTTGAACACCGCAATGATCTATTCAAGCTATACTGGCTGAGACTTATGTCTCTTGAGGTCTACCATGCCAGGCAGGTTGTTTGGATAGCGGTTAAACAAAAAGCAGCTACCCAATCCAACATCATGTTCAATACAAAATCACAAAATTTCATGCCGGATCGGCCGTGGCCCGGATTAACAACGACCGCGCTTCCTGCTGCCGTGTCACAGGGCAGGAGTGATAAATATGCTACTGAGGCACACCAAACAAAAAAGAACGAACAAAAACAGGCCGCGTGTGACCGGCCTCAAGCAGTTGTCCCCTGGGCTCTGCGGTCACGCAACCAACTTCCACGGTGTGGGCAGCCGGGAAGTAACAATCGCCCTCACAATCCGAAATGCACGCGAAACCTCTCTATTACTCACTCATCTTTGTCTTCATCTTCATCTCTATCATCTTGCCTTCCTTCCACTGATGCAACTCCTCGACTTGATAGCTCTCCACTTCCTCTCCACTCTGCGTCCACTAAAAACGATGGAAGCCAAAAAACCACCACCGACAGCCTCTTAAAGCCGCGCCACCAATTTCATATAGGAGCTCTTAATGTTAGGACACTTTGCCAAATAGGACAACAAGCATCACTAGCCAAGACCCTGGCATCACGAGCCATTGATGTATGCTGTGTTTCAGAAACACGCATACAAGACCCAAGTGTGGTTATTCACCTAACCCCACCTGGCCAACAGGTTGAATCTGCAAAATTCACCTTGAGGGTGTCAGGAGATGCCACAGCTAGTTCACGAGGATTAGCTGGCGTAGGGATAGCTTTGAGTACTAGGGCAGAAAAGACATTGCTTGACTGGATCCCGGTAGATAGCCGAATGTGTGCTGTCCGTCTGAACGGATCAGTAAGAAGGAGAAAGGACTGCACTACTCGCCGATGCCTTTTCGTAATCTCCGCCTACGCCCCCACTGACTGCAGTTCAGATGAAACGAAGGATGAGTTCTACCAAAAGCTGTCTAGTTTGGTGAGAAAGGCTAAACGCTCAGACATAGTCGTTCTAGCTGGTGACTTTAACGCTCAAGTAGGGAAATTGTGTCAATCTGAGAAGGATGTCGGTGGCACCTATGGAGTTCCGTGCCAGCGAACCGACAACGGTGACCGTCTCCTACAGTTCTGTTCTGATAATCATTTGTTTCTTGTAAGCACTAACTTCAAACACAAGGAGAGACACTGTTTGACTTGGAGACCCCCTTCATCAAACCAACGCTGGACACAAATAGACCACATAGCAATAAGCTATCGTTGGCGTGGGTCGGTAGGAGATTGTCGCTCCTTCTGGAACACGTGTGTAGATAC